ACCACTAATGAATTCTTCATAATTATGACCTTGGAAAAATAGGTAATGACAATGTAGGTAATGCTTTGGTAACGGGACACTTGTTTGTTGTTACAGGTGTAACAGTTGGTTGCCCCACTAGCTATAGAAGGTCTCAGTGACAGAAGTTTTACGGCAGATACCAGGGGGGGGGGGGGGGGGTTGGGGGGGGGGGGGGGGGGGGGGGGGGGGGGGGGGGGGGGGGGGGGGGGGTTGTACTTCCTGTCACACCTAAAATTGTTGATCCACAAAAAGTATCCAAAACATTTTTATATTTCAACCTCAGATGATCTGATTCAAAGAAATTTATTTTCAAATGTGTATAGTCTAATTAATATTCCGAGACGTTGTGTACCTAATTCACACCTGACCTCAAGAACATCAAAATCTATGTTTGTAGTCTTGAGTTAAATCCTAGACAGACTGAAATTAGATTTATCTCATTGTGTAATCTAGTCTGTAAAGACTGAAACTGAGTTTTTCAAACAAGCCATTTTAAATGGTTATACTGAAAATTCTAGCACCACCTTAGAGTGATTTTAAAACACTTATACTGCTATAGACAGGTGAGTTTTTGTTATGGCTTAAGTCATCAATAATCGAGTCCGGACACTACCACCCCCTAAGCTTAACCTCAGGGTCAAGGACCATGACAATGGTACAGGTACATGTTCTGGTGTTTATGACTTAGACTGTGTCCATCCTGACCATGATGATCAAACGTAAATAACGATATTATACACTTCATTCACTATACACCCTATAAATGTGCAGTCACAGAATAACTGTAAATCACACGTAATATTACTTACACATATATAAATTTCACCGGCTTGTTTATATATATTTGAAAGCTTACCCTTTATATATAATTCCTTAATAACAGTAGATCTATAAGAAACAAACTTTAACACAATCTTGTCCTCTTAATTTATGTCTATAAACATAATAAAACACTGTGTATATATATACACTCAGACAAACAACATCACTTGGGTGTTGTCTTAATCAGCAAATTCTCCAGTATTGGGAAAAAAGGGCCCAGGGTCCAGGATGTTGGTGAGTCACCCACTCCCGTTTCTTTGGGTGTCCCACTTGGGTGAGGCGCCCGTTTTCTTTTTTGGTGAACGCTGGTGAGCGCCCGTTTTCTTTTGGCTGCCCATTCTCTGTGATTGAGTCAGGAGGGACTCATTTTGTAACTGATTTATATTGTAAAACACTAGTTTTACGAGCTTTTTTTTCGAAGACCTTGGCTTCATAAGGTTATTTGTACACTGTAGTACAACATATATTGGACCACAGAGTGTTCTTTAAATATCCTGTTCGAGCATCGACAAAACCTGTTGAGATTTTGGCCTTACATGCGTGTTTATTATAACATATATCATGAACACTTAGCTGATAAATGAAAGCAAATCGTCTACAAAGCCGCCCTGCAAGACGAGGTCTAGAAGCTGTCGAAACATCACAACAGTGGGCTGTCAGAGATACAATTTGTAAGTATAAATTACCCTAGGGGGTTGTTATGTCAGCATATTTTTCATTCGATGATGGCTGACGAAATACCTACTAGTATGGCTACAAAAGTCCACACCTTACTGCCCGATAATAGGTTGAATTACAAACTCCTGTGACTCAAGAAATTGCGCAATCCCCCGATCTACAAGAAATCTAACATACCTTGCCTTTGTAACGTAACTATGGTGTTCTCAACACCTTCGACAGGAATCGGTGACTTGATAGAAGCTGAAGTGTCCTTGGATGTCCACCACGTCTTCCAGTCAAGGAAACGCACACTGGTACTCCTATGTTATCCACAAGAATTTGCTTTATTGTTCACAATGTATCACACAGAAGAAGCTGATCACACTTCTCTGAAGTGTTTGTGTTAGAGACACTTTGCTCACACTAATGCACAGATCAGTATCCTGGCGTCAGTGTCACTCTCCATAGAGTCAAAGATAGTCTGCCAGACGCCACAGCGCTCCATGCCGTCACTGCCCTAATACACAAAAAAAAACGCTGACCTAGTACCTTGCATCCTTGTCACCTCCTCGATGAAGCAAAGCAGAATGTTTGTTTGTTGCTGTCTTAATCATAGACAACAATGTACACTATCTTTACTATGGTAATAAAGTGGGAGCAGGATTTTCCTTAATTGTCCTGCTAAAGTAAGAATGTATTGTCTCTTATAAAAATACACTTTGCAACACCGCTGCAAGGAGCAGAGGTCACTTGACTACGTGGCATGGCATCTGTGATCAATTACTCACTCTAGCAGTAAACAAGACGCTCGCCCCTTCTGAGTGGCTTGGCCACTCAGGGCTGAAATGGGCTGAAGGGGCTGAAGGGGGCTGAAGGGGGCTGATAGCCCCCTCCTGGAGAAAATTTCTCCACATCAACTACACGAGTCATCAAGGTTGCAGTTACCTGTTACCATCAACTACACGAGTCATCACGGCTGCAGTTACCTGTTACCATCAACTACATGAGTCATCAAGGCTGCAGTTACCTGTTACCATGAACTACACAAGTCATCAAGGCTGCATTTACCTGTTAGTATCAACTACACGAGTCATCAAGGCTGCAGTTACCTGTTACCATCAACTACACGAGTCATCACGGCTGCAGTTACCTGTTACCATCAACTACACGACTCATCAAGGCTGCAGTTACCTGTTACCATCAACTACACGAGTCATTACTGCTGCAGTTACCTGTTACCATCAACTGCACGAGTCATCAAGGCTGCAGTTACCTGTTACCATGAACTACACGAGTCATAAAGGCTGCAGTTACCTGTTACCATCAACTACACGAGTCATTACTGCTGCAGTTACCTGTTACCATCAACTGCACGAGTCATCAAGGCTGCAGTTACCTGTTACCATGAACTACACGAGTCATAAAGGCTGCAGTTACCTGTTACCATCAACTACACGAGTCATGACGGCTGCAGTTACCTGTTACCATCAACTACACGAGTCATCACGGCTGCAGTTGCCTGTTACCATCAACTACACAAGTCATCAAGGCTGCAGTTACCTGTTACCATCAACTACACGAGTCATCAAGGCTGCAGTTACCTGTTACCATCAACTACACGAGTCATCAAGGCTGCATTTACTTGTTAGTATCAACTACACGAGTCATAAAGGCTGCATTTACGTGTTAGTATCAACTACACGAGTCATCAAGGCTGCAGTTACCTGTTACCATCAACTACACGAGTCATCAAGGCTGCAGTTACCTGTTACCATCAACTACACGAGTCATCAAGGCTGCATTTACTTGTTAGTATCAACTACACGAGTCATAAAGGCTGCATTTACGTGTTAGTATCAACTACACGAGTCATCACTGCTGCAGTTGCCTGTTACCATCAACTACACAAGTCATCAAGGCTGCAGTTACCTGTTACCATCAACTACACGAGTCATCAAGGCTGCAGTTACCTGTTACCATCAACTACACGAGTCATCAAGGCTGCATTTACTTGTTAGTATCAACTACACGAGTCATAAAGGCTGCATTTACGTGTTAGTATCAACAACACGAGTCATCACGGCTGCAGTTGCCTGTTACCATCAACTACACAAGTCATCAAGGCTGCAGTTACCTGTTACCATCAACTACACGAGTCATCAAGGCTGCAATTACCTGTTACCATCAACTACACGAGTCATCAAGGCTGCAGTTACTTGTTACCATCAACTACATGAGTCGTCAATGCTGCAGTTACCTGTTACCATCAACTACACGAGTCATCACGGCAGCAGTTACCTGTTACCATCAACTACACGAGTCATCAAGGCTGCAGTTACCTGTTACCATCAACTACACGAGTCATCAAGGCTGCAGTTACCTGTTACCATCAACTACACGAGTCATCAAGCTGCAGTTACCTGTTACCATCAACTACACGAGTCATCAAGGCTGCAGTTACCTGTTACCATCAACTACACGAGTCATCAAGGCTGCAGTTACCTGTTACCATCAACTACACGAGTCATCAAGGCTGCAGTTACCTGTTACCATCAACTACACGAGTCATCACGGCTGCAGTTACCTGTTACCATACCTTAACTCTCAGTATATATTCACAGAAAAAAATGTATATCTCGGTGTATATTTCCTGTGTATTTTTATTATTATTATTATTATTGGTATTATGATTTTTTTTACTTTTGTTAATAATTTCATTTACATTTTTATTCTTACGGATTCCATTTTTGCATCACTTCTGGTCTTGTTAACGTAAATTTATGAAACAGATAATTTCAATAAATATTATTCCTCTTCATATGGTCTGTTTGTTTCATTTTATAATCTGAACCAAATTTGAGTCATATTCTTGCATTTGTAAGAAAAAAAATCGTTTAAGAAGGATATAAAAATTTAGCCTAAATAGCTAATTATCTCTTGGTAGCTCAAGTTGTATGATCAGAGCTTTTACTTTGCTCTTCGTGGCACTCTTATTTAATTTCGTGAATCAATCACTGGAGACTTTTCTTTTCATCGTTGTACAAGTAAGACTCATCCCTCGCATCATTACTAAAGGCAAAAATATCTGTGAGGAGTCTGGCGAGGCTCATAAATTTATTTTTAAATGAATAGTAGGCGGCTTCGTTGGAAGTTAATAACGAGGGATCATACATGTATACGTAACATTTGATGAAAGGCTTAGCTGTGGGAGACGGGACACAGCCTTTGCCGTCAACTTTAAAAGGTAACTTAATGCTCACGAACAAAAGAGAGTGATTAGTCTGAGAAAATATGAACAGAAAATTAAGGACTCCTGAAAGGTAAATATTCAAGGTTAAGTCTCAAGAATAATTAGCTTTTCCCGGGAAAGAATTATTAGAATTATTTATATTATTTTATTTCCTTTTCACTTCTGTTATTTTATTTTGGTTACAATTATTGAAAATGTGAGCATTAACGCCACATCTCATATTAACACAAAATATAAGCAATCACACACAGGAAGTAAAGCAATAATAAGCTTGCAAAGCTATGTTTTATATCTACAATCAAGATTCTCTACTACGGAGGTTGTGGGGTATAAAGTCACTCGCCGGGAGTTGCGAGTAGCCGAGCACTAACAGCAGGCGATTGATTCTCTTGACGGCGTTGGCAAACCTTATCTTTTCGTCCTCCGTGAAAGGGTCCATGTACCTGTTAGTTTTCCTCTTGAAGGGCCCAGTCAGGTGCTTGGAGACGCAAGAGAGTCGTCCCTCGTCCACTGGAATCCTGGAAAGCAAATGAGGAGAGATCAAGGTGTTTCACTATTGGGAAGTTACATGAGGGATGAGTTTCACTACCACTTACCTATTTGCCACAACACTTGAGTGTTTATAATACTTGGAGTAAATATATGATTTTCAAAACTTTTTAAGGCGAGAAATACATAGCTATGCTTTAGTTTCCATACTTCTTCTTTAAACATTGATGAAAAAGTGTTCTCTCGTGTAGTTAAATCAGATGGGAAATACCTTCACAAGAAGTACCAAGCTGTTTTGAACGTTTTGTGAACTGCAAAACAGTCAAGTTTCATATATTCGCTGCATTTCGCATTTCTTCATTATCGAACACAGAATCGGTTTGGCTACAGTTTCTCGAGGACGTGACAAATTAATATTGGGTGTGATTTATAGGCTCCCAAACCTTGGTAGGGAGTACAATAAGCTGTCATGGGACGAAATTCATAAGGCATCTAGATATGAAAATGTTGTGATAATGGGAGATTTTAACTTTACACAAACTGATTGGAAGAATATGACAGGAAATCTTGAGTCTAGTGACTTTCTTGATACGGTTCAGGATTGCTTTTTAGAACAGGTTGTGACAGAACCAACTAGAGGAAACAATCTGCTTGACTTGGTTCTTCTCAACAAAGATTCACTAATTAATAATCTTGAGGTTAATGATGAGCTTGGGGAAAGTGATCACAAATCACTTAGTTTCAATATATCATGGAATTACCCAGATAACTACAATCATATCACTGTCCCAGATTTTCGCTTGGCCGACTTCATGGGACTGAAAAATTACTTGGGTGGGCTAAATTGGGATGTCCTGACTATGGGTCAGGTAGGTGATCTTGGTTGCCAATATGCCGTTTTTCAGAGCATAGTTCTAGTTGCCCAGACAACTTTTGTTCCGAGTAGGGAAATTAGATCTAACAAAAATGATCCCAAATGGATGAACAAAATATTAAAACATCTCATTTGTCAAAAAAGAGGCATATATAGGCGTATCAAAAGAGGGGATGGGCAGTTAAGAAATCATATAATTCAATTAAAGAGAGAAATAAAGAAAGGAATAAGAAAAGCAAAAAGAGATTATGAGGCTAAGGTAGCAAGGGACTCAAAGACTAACCCAAAAGGGTTCTTTCAGGTATACAGAAGTAAGATTAGGGACAAGATTGGCCCACTTAAGAGTAACTCTGGTTAGATCACTGACAGTGATAAGGATATGTGTGAAATTCTAAATACCTACTTCCTCTCAGTTTTCACCAAGGAAAATACTAGCGATATTCCTAAAATAATAGATTACTTAAAACAAGATGATAATAAACTATGTACGATTGCGGTAACTAGTGACATGTCCTCAGACAAATAGAGAAACTAAAACCTAACAAATCCCCAGGTCCTGATGAACTGTTTAAAAGGGTGGTAAAGGAATGTAAAGAGGAACTTAGTATACCTTTGGCTAATCTTTTTAACATATCACTACAAACTGGCATAGTGCCTGATAAGTGGAAAATGGCAAATGTAATACCTATTTACAAGGCAGGTGACAGGTCCTTGGCTTCGAACTATAGACCAATAAGCCTTACCTCCATAGTGGGAAAATTTATGGAATCAATAGTTGCCGAAGCAATTCGTAGACATCTTGACAGGCACAGATTGATTAATGATTCGCAACACGGTTTTACAATTTGGCGTTCCTGTCTTACGAATTTACTAACTTTTTCACTAAGGTGTTTGAGGAGGTAGATCATGGTAATGAATATGATATTGTGTTTATGGACTTCAGTAAGGCTTTCGATAGAGATCCAGACCAGAGGCTATTGAGGAAACTTAGGGCACACGGAATAGGATGAGAAATATTTTCCTGGGTAGAGGAATGGCTGACAAATAGACAGCATTGAGTTTGCATAAATGAGGAGAAATCAGAATGGGGGCACGTCACAAGCGGTGTTCCTCAGGGGTCAGTGTTGGGCCCGTTGTTGTTCACAATTTACATAAACGACATAGATGAGGGAATAAATAGCGACATAAGCAAATTTGCTGATGACACCTAAATAGGCAGTCCAATTCATTCTAATGAGGACATTAGAGCACTCCAGGATGATTTGAATAGACTGACGCAATGGTCGGAGAAGTGGCAAATGCAGTTTAATATTGACAAATGCAAACTTCTAAATGTTGGACAGTTAAATAACCATGCCACATATAAACTAAATAATGTAGATCTTAATACTACCGATTGCGAAAAGGATTTAGGAGTTCTGGTTAGCAGTAACCTAAAACCAAGATAACAGTGCATTAGTGTTCGCAATAAAGCTAACAGAATTCTTGGCTTCATATCTAGAAGTATAAATAATAGAAGTCCTCATATATATATATATATATATATATATATATATATATATATATATTATATATATATATATAATATATATATATATATATATATATATATATATATATAAAGACAAAATACATTGACAAAACATTCACAAAAATATACGATAGAAAGTAAAACAACATAGGTGACTCAGCGCTACATCTCGAATACTTCGTCCAGCTCCCCGGCGGTGGGCCGCGTGCCCAGAATGCTGCAGGCATTTCCTCTCTGGATTGCAACACTGAGTCTCTGAAAGAGGAAGCTGGTCGCCCTGTGGTCCTTGGTTTCTATGATGAGCTTTTCACCCAGCTCTATTAGGAACTTTAGAGCACACTTGCCCCATGCTCCAAGGGTCTCCGACCCTATTGGGATGAAGTTATAGCAAGGGGGAAGGTCTTCATATTTGCGGATCTTCTGGGTCTCCCTGTGGCTGGCAGCTCCACCCCCTTCCACTACGGAGTATGGCAAGTAGGTGTCTGACAATGTGGCGGCACATGTGTAGTCCCAGGCAATCTGCTTTCCATCCTTCCAAGGTAGCATAGTGGCTCCATCAGGACGCTTTTGACTTCCGTCAGACCTCTGCACTTGGGGTTCCCGTTGAGCTGGGCAACGGGCTGTGGCGAGGCTTCTCTTTATGATGTCATTGACCTCCTCATGCCTGGCATACTTCCCATCTGCTGTATATATATATATATATATATATATATATATATATATATATATATATATATATATATATATATATATTTATATATATAATATAGGGAAGTACCACCTCTATGGATGGAATGGGGACCCTCATCCTCAGAGAAGACAATAAACGTACCTCAGGGAAAACTCAAGGTTCTCCCCGGAGCTGTTTGAATATTTTTTCTCCTACTACCCCCTATATTAGATATTCTATGTGAACATTTATTAATAAACAGAATACATTTACAGAAAAACATAAACATGAATACAATGGCACAATGTATCAAAGATCATGAATTTCCTCCAGCTCTTCCGAGGCTGGACGCAAGCCAAGTATGCAGTAAGCATTTCCCCTCTGGATGGCTATGCTGAGGCGCTGGAACATGAAAGTGGCTGCCCTTGGGTCCCTGGTGGTGTCGATGAGTCTGGAACCCAATTCTTTAAGGAAACGTGAGGCAATTTTTCCCCATGATCCCAAGACCTCTGATCCCACTGAGACAAATTGATACTGTTGGCTTATGTCCTTGTACTTGCTGATCTTGTACTCCTCCCTGTGGTCAGCAGCTCCTCCCTGTCGCCCCACACTGTGATGGATATAGGTGTCAGCCAGTGTGGACATGCTAAGAGCTTGCCATTCTTCCAAGGATAGATGGCGATCCCATCGGGGCGGTTTGCTGGGTTGTGGGTATTGTTGGCTGCTAATGATCGGGGCTCCCTCTCGGCTGGGCATCCAGCTGTAGCAAGGGTTCTCTTAATGATGTCGTTGACCTCATTGTGTCTTGCATGCCAGCCCTTGGTTTTGGAACAGTTAAGACCATGTAGACGGTATTGGTCTGCTTGTGCTTCGCCGCAAATACACGTATATTCTGTGTGAATTGGGGCAGCAAGGCGCAGAGCCACTGCAATACGGAGGGTCTTAGGGTCGAGTCGCGTTCCCATTGCCGATATGGGAACTGTTTGGAGGAAGTCCCCGGAGTGATGTGCACTCACAGCCTGGAGATGAGCAATCTCCCTATCTGATGTTGCAGCCCTGAGCATGTTGGCAAGCACCTTTTCAGCGACTGGGCCATCCCAGCTTGACTGTTTGTGAGCCAGTACTGCACTAGGGTTTGGTGCTGGAGCAGCAAGAGTCTCCCATTCAGTGATGGCACTGGCATAGCTAGGGTCTTCTATTCCTGCTGAATCACTGAGGGTATCAGGAAGAATTTGTCTTATCAACTCGTTTGATGCTATGGAAGAGGATAGGAAAGCTGGTAGAGCCATCTGGGAGGATCTGCGTACTCCTAGCCCTCCAAGCCTGACCGGAAGCGAGGCTTGCAACCACTGTCCATCTTCAAGGGAAAGATTCAATACACTCTCTAGCATGGTCTTAAAGAGAGAGTCATATTCCTTGAGTTTTGGACTGCTGAAGGCTGGGAAGCATCTCAGAAAGTAGGTAAGTTTTTGGGATTGACAGGCACCTGGTGAGTAGGTAGAAGGCATCGTGTGTGTCAATGTCTTTCATCCTGCTTTCCATCGTCCGGAGGTCTGAGACTTTTTTTTCTAGGATCAGATCGATGGCATTGGACCCAAGTGGAGCACCGAAGAGAGTGCTATTGGCTGGATCAATGGCTCGTGCTCCTGGTTAAACGGCACTAATATTCTGGATCATCTGTTGATTGGTAGAAACTATTTCACATTTGGTGGGGTTTAAAGAAAGGCCCAGGCTTTCTCCCATGTCTTTAATTTTACTGATGTCCTCTAGGAGAGATTCTGTTGTGCCAGCTAGGGTACCATCGTCCAGGAACCAGATATTGAGCTCGCTGGAGAGTGCTTCTTGACTTCCTGGATGACCAAACAGAATAGAAAGGGGGCGAGAGAGTCCCCCTGTTGCACGCCCTCATATGAGTCAATTTCATGGTCCCCAAACAATAGTTTGGAAGTCACAC